TAGATAGGGATAATCTAAAATGTTTAAGGAGAATAAATTGATTAATAGAACTTCAAGGAATTTTTGTAGATAAACCCAAGCCAGTCTCAACAATGGTCATGTTCATTCAAATAAATATTGGAAATCCAAAAAATAGTGATATATTGAGGTTTTATTTCTTCTTTCCCATAGTCTTGCTAAGTAGTCCATTGCAACAAAGTTATGCAGACCATTGATGAGTAAGCTAGTATAAAACTATGACCTGTTTCTGTAAGATATAGACCCTGTTCCCTGACAAAGTTACTTAACAAACACTTTGTATGAAAGCTTCTCTGAGGCTTACTTAATGGTTTTTAGTTGATACATTAATAAGCTAAAGCTGTCATACCAAATTACCATAAGCTGGATAGTTGAAGTAGCAGAAATTTGTTTCTCACAATTGAGGTTGGAATCCAAGATCAAGCTACAAGCAGGTTTGGATTTTCCTGAGGCCCTTCACCTAGGTTGGCAGGTAGAAGTCTTCTGTGTCCCAACATGACTTTTTTCTTTCTAGGTTGAGAAAGATTTCTGGTGTCTCTTCTTCTTATAAGGACATGAATCCTATTGGATTAATACCCCACTGTCATGACCTCATTTAACTTCAATTACATCCTTTGGGTCTTACTCCCAAACACAATCACATTGGGAGTTAAGGCTTTCACCCATGATGAGATTATGGGATGAACGCACAATCCAGTCCATAACGCCTAAGTAATGACATCAAAGTTTTGTATGGGGTTAGGGACAAGGGTAGAGTGGTCTGAATAACTTGACAGGAGTCTTGTTAGACCATTGTTTATAGACCATTGTAAGAATGCCCCACTCCCAACATACTTTTAAACTTGACAGGAAACCATTGAAGAGTTTTAAAGTAGTCAGTCACTCTCCAATTCTACCCACACTTTTTTGAGAATATACTGGAACAGTGACTAAGCTGAGCTACTAGATAGTATATAATTGCAATGATCTAATTAAGAGATCATATCTTGGACCATGATGGAAGTTTGTCAAAGGTGGTTAAAAAAAAAAAAGTGGGGGAGGGAAGTGAGTCAGATTCTAGATTAATTTTGAAGGTAGAATGGAAGGAATTTGTTTATAGATTGAACATGTGATATGAGAGAAGAAAAGAGCAAAAGAATAGGTGGGAAAATTTTTGTTTGAGTAAGAAGAGTGTGGAAAAGAGCTAGTGTTTTGTGGACATTTTAGTGGCTTTGTGTTTTGTTTTTTTAATTTTCTACAATATATATTCATACAATATATATTCAGTTCTTAACAGCATCCCATGTCAGTATATATAGATACAATGCATTTCTTTTGAGGGCATCTTTAATTATTGTATTTCATTTGAAAAACACATTTGTGCCACGCACAGTTGACTGTCCTTTTCAAATATTAACCTAATATCAATTCTTTTTTAAAAAAATATTTTTTAGTTGTAGTTGGACACAATATCTTTATTTATTTTTATGTGGTGCTAAGGATCGAACCCAGTGCCTCATATGTGCTAAGCATGCCCTCTATCACTGAGCTAGAACCCCAGCCCTTAATATCAATTCTGATATACTGTTAACTGCTCAAGGAAACTGAGACCCAGGGAGGTTAATTTACTTGTGGTATGTGGTAAATAAGTAGGAAATCCACTGCATGATATTGATACTGTATGACTTCCTTAGTTTTCATGATCAACCTTCTAATGGCAAATTTGGTTGTTATTCCAATTTGGAGGTCATTATAAGATATGTTACAGTAGGTCTTCATTTTCATATCTTTGGGTATAAGTGTAAATATCTGTAGGATAAATAAGAATATATTATCAAAGGATATACACATTACCTATATGACCTTTAACAAAGTAATTCTAGTTTATCTTTCCTTACCCATCTTTGTTTCCTTTTATATTTTCTCTAATTTGGTAATACTATTGCTGTCTACCTGTGAATCCTGAAATCAGAACAATACAACTTGGTTATATTTGTTTTTGTGGTACTATGGATTGAATCCAAGGGTATTCTGCCACCAACCAGTCCTTTTTATTTGTTAATTGAGACAGGAATTTGCAGTCCTCTTGCCTTAGCCTCTTGAGTCACTGGGATTACAGGCATATGCCACTACTCCTGGAGCACAATATGTTTATGGTGATTCCAGCTAGTCTGTTTAAATTCTGTGCTACGTGTTAAACTCATAGCATAATGGGTAATGAACTTAATGAATATTCAAGCCAAGGAAAGCGCCTGTGTTATTGGATACATATTATGTTTGAACTGGGGGAGGGTGGGTCTATACATACATAATAAATTCATGGTCAAGAGACTAACTCCTCCCCAAAGGTAACTGCTATCCTGATTTCTAATACTTTAGTTTTGTGTATCTTTGAATTTTATATTCTTTGATTTCTGCTTCTCTCAACATCTTGCTTGTGATATTCATCCATGATGTGTGTGGGAGATAATTTGTTCATTTTCCATCTATTCCAGTACATTAATAATCCCTTATGTTGTTCATGGATAGTTATATTGTTTCCATGTTGATTATGGATAATGCTTCTTTGAACATTTAAATGCTTTTGGATGGATACATATGTGTACTTCCTAGCAGTGATACTGTTTTGTCATAGAATTGACAAACATTCTACTTTATTAAGTTTTGTAAAAAAGTTTTCAGGTTGTATATACCAGTTAATACTCCCCATCATAGTATATGAAAGTTGGACTTGTTCTACGTTTTTATTAGCGCTTGTGAATTATATTTATTTTAGCCAATGTTTGCTTTTAATGTATTATTCTGTTTTTCATTACTATCACAAAATACCTGAGGAAGGCTAACTACAAGGAAAGGGTTTACAGTTCTGGAAGTTCAAAGTCCAATATTGAGCAGTGGGGGAGAAGAGGATTGGTTCAGCCTCTGGTGAAGCCTAATGACAGATGGTGTCACTGTGGCAGGAGTGTGTTTAGGAAGAAGACATTACATCTCAAAAACAAGAAACCAGAGAGAAATTCAGGGGTCAGGTCCTCTAGTATAACAACTTGCTCTCATGAAAACTTAGGGGTCCTATGAGAGCTGCCTTAATTTCCTCCAAGGGCAGCCATCCCAGTGACCCAAAGGCTTTTCACTAGTTTCCACCTGGGAACAAAGCTTCCACACATGAATTCTTGGGGGACAAATCACATCCAAATCATAATGTGTGCTTCTTCTTGATGTTTAATAAAATTGAGTATGTGTTTTTGCTTGACAGTTTGATGTATAATTGGTTATTTCCACAAGAACAGGGAGTATTTTTGTTTGAAGCTTTTGCCCTTCCTTCAGGGAAATATTAAGAGTATATTCCAATATATAAAATAGATTAAAAGGAGTGTTTGCTGAGATTCTCTATAGCATGGTAATTAGGAACAGAGATTCTGGACAAGACTCCTGTTATAAAGTAATCACCTTTGTCACTATTTGTCTCAGTTTCCTTAGTTCCAAAATGAATATAATGATGATATTTTTATCATAAGGTTAATGTCAGACTTCAATAAGTTAGTTTATTTACAGTTAGGACATAATAAGTAGTCTATAATGTAATTTATATATATATATTACATATAAAAGTCTATGATGTTAGCAATAATAATGATGATATAAATGTATTTGTGTTATAACAAGTTAGCTGACAAGAATAATGAGGCTTTGCTAATGAACACAAATTTGAAATTGAAGTTTATGGATGATAATTGGATTTCATTTTAGCCTTAGCACCAAGTTTTTGTTTTGGTTGTACATTATCAAGAAAATATTGATTCACAAGGATGAGTAACTATCTCCCACAGCTCCTTAGTCATTGTGACCTCTTCCAACTGGCTAATCTTCCATTTGCCTCACCAGCAGCATGGTTCTGTGTTCCTTTCTCTATGGTATTAGTGTCTAGAACACTCTCATTACCATCTGTCTTGAGTATTATAATTTCTTTGTCGTCTTACTTGGACTTCACCTCTTCTGAATCATTCTTCTTTTCTTTTTTTTTTTAAAGAGAGAGAGAGAGAGAGAGAGAGAGAGAATTCTTAATATTTATTTTTTAATTCTCGGGGAACACAACATCTTTGTTGGTATGTGGTGCTGAGGATCGAACCCAGGTCGCACGCATGCCAGGCGAGCTCGCTACCGCTTGAGCCACATCCCCAGCCCCGATTCTTCTTTTCTATCAATCATTCTTTCCTAATATCCTGCTCTGATATTCTTTATTTCAGGCTCTAAAGCTTTCTTTTTTGTTTTAATATTGTAAGTTTTATTCTGTGTTGTTCTGCATCAGTGTCACTCACAAAATCCATCAGCAGAGGGAGCTAAATAAAAGAAGATAATTCCCTTAAACTGAGAAGACTTGTAGAGCAGAGTACTTAGAAGATACTTTCACGATAGTGCTGAAAAGGATCTTGAATACTACTATAAAACATAAGAATCAATGATTTGGGCCCTCACTGCTGGTTAAAACTTCCTTAAGGAAGTTTGTTTTTGAAAAAACAAAAACAAAACAGCAACCACAAAAAAACCCCAAACCACAACAACTATTCAAAAGCTGGGTGTGGTGGCACACACCTGTCATCCTAGCAACTCAGGACGCTATGGTAGGAGGATGGGACAACTTAGTGAGACCTACCTCAAAATAAAAACTAAAAAGTAAAAAGGCCTGGGGTCAGTGGCAAAGAGCCTCTGGGTTCAACCCCCCAGTACCAGAAACAAAATAAAAATCTATTTAGAAGAATGACATAATAAACATACATAACAGAACCAATCTGTTAATTTTTTCCCCCTGATTCTCCATCTGAAAGTTTTATTTATTAAAGATGATGAAATGAGGTCGCTGCTTTGTACAGAATTTCATATGGAGCACTGAGTCTTAAATTTGCTAATAAGCATTATGGATAATCCATTTCACATTTTTAAGACAGACATTTTCAAGTAAATTTCTTGTATTTGGTTTTGATTAAGTGTATGTATCTTAATTTCAGTTAGCAGACTTGAAGAAAGAGAAGCAGAACTGAAGAAGGAATATAATGCATTACATCAAAGACACACTGAGGTGGGTTTCTGGGTTGTTCTTATCGTGCTTATGTGGAGACAAAGAAACAGACCTTAGAAAGCATGTTTTAATTTTTCTTTGAAAATCAGAATAATCTGGAAGGGGTTATTTCTAGAAAACATTAAATGTCATATGGCATATACCAAACATCTGCTTTGCTTTTCGTTTTTTTAAAATCTGGAATTAACTTTTCAAGTAGTGTGTTAGCATGCCACAGAATAATTTAGTTATTTAAGACAGTTCTAATACTTGTTTCCTCCGCTGGCTAAGCAAAAACTTATGTGCATGTAGTAAAAAGATTATATGATACTGAGAAGAGAAAATCAATTTGTTACCAGTTTGAAAATGATGCATTGGTAAATTATTGGTAAGGATCTCTACATTTATAATCCAGTATAAGGTAATTTTGTTACATTAAATTCATGACAACCTAAACATTAAAATATGTTAAGTTAAAATGATACTAAAACAGTTTTTTTGCATGAGTTTTCAGTATTTTAAATAAACAGTTTAGTTACATAATCTCTCCAAAACAAATTAGAAAATGTACTTGAGGGCTTTAAAATATTCTTTTTATGATTCTCTGTCAGTTTTTTATATGTAGCATTTTTTTTTTGTTTTTATTTCAATGTGAAAATTGTTTTTGTTTATCATGGTCAGTCTAGGATTCACATACGTAGATAAATAGAATTTTCGTAGTCTGTGCAATATTTGTTACACTAAAAAATTTTATTTCTTTTTCCTCATCTAATCTTGTCTTTCCCATGATTCAGATGATTCTAGTCTCTTACTTTCTTTTAACTGATACTAGAGTTTGAGCCCAGGGCCTTGAACTCAGTAATAAATACCTGCTCTACCACTGAGCTACAGTCCTAGCCCTGGTTCTAGCCTTTAGCTCCTGATTTTCTTTCATTAATTTGTGTGCTTTCCTATCCTGCTTGTAGCAGAAACCTATATTATTGCTTTTAAGGAACATAAAATCGTATTGCACTAAAATTTCCTTTGCTTTGGAATAATGTAGGTGATAGTTTCTTGGGAGTGTTAGAATTTCTTCCTGTTAACCGTATCTGGTGAGGTTTTATTATCTTCATTTTATAGCCCCACCCAAAATGTGAAATGTCACAGAATTGATATCAAGTGGTTGAGAGAAGAAATTGACTACTAAAGTCTGGAAACCATACATAAAGCTCTGGGAAGGCAGGAACAGGTTACACAGGAGCTTTTTCAGTATGGAAAAAAATACCCACACTTTAATAATATAATATTTGGTAGATATTAAAGCTGTTATTAAAAACATTAGTTGTTAAAAGCCTATGTTGATTCTCTTTATACCATTCATTTTAATGCCTGATCATTGTCCTATGCATAGTATTATAATGCTTATCCTTGTTAGTAATTACAACTATATTTAGAAGAACATGCTTAAATATCATAGAAAATTTGATAATGATGAATAATGCCTTTTTTTTTTTTCTTCTCTGAACTAGGGATTGAACCCAGGGGTATTTTGCCACTGAGCTACATCTCCAGGCCTTTTCATTTTTTACTTTTTTTTAAATTACTAATTGCTGAGGGCTGACCTCAAGCTTGTGATCCTCCTGCCTCAGCCTCCTGAGTTTCTGGGATTACAGGTGGACACCCACCCCACCTGGCAAATAATGCTTTTTAAAGTAACATTCTAACCTACAAATAATTGAAGATTATTAAATTATGTATTTGAAGTATGTCTAAGATATGCATTCTTGAAGGGTTAACTGTTGAGTGAAATTTCCTATTTTCCCCCCTATATTTAATAAAAGTGAAGATTTATTACTACAGAAAAAAGTGACATTGACTTCAAATGAAAAGATGCAATAATTTTTCCATTTCATGCCTTCAACGAAGGACAGTCCAAGAAGAAAAAGCAATTTGAAAAAAATCTTTAATTTCCAAGTCAAGAATTACACCTGTCCAATAACCAAAGCAGCTTTTCCTTGCAGCCTGATAACTCTTTTCAGAGGATCCTCTCCTTAAGTAAAAGCCACAACTGCCTTCTGCTCTGATAGACTTTCTTTGTTCAAGCAACATGGCTGCTTTGAAATTTGGGTCTGTTCTACTCTAGCCTACAAGTTTCTGTTTATACATCTGTTCTAGAGATGTCATTAGCAATTATAAATAGCTCTCCAACTTTTTAAAGAACTAGGTGCCCTTTCAAGGTAAATTCTGGAAATCTTCAGGGAAAGGGAGTCTGGAGGGTTTAATCTGTAACCTTTTCACCATTGCTTCCAAAGAAGGTTACACATTTTACAGGCACAAAATAGTTGTTTAAATAGTACTTTTATCAAACACATTATTTACTCTTTAAGGGAAACCTACTATTGCTCTTTTTGTAATGTGAATAACTGCTCTTAAATCAAAATTTTGTGCAGATTATTAAATTTACTCAAGATATGCTTTAAGGAGAGCAGCAAAGGAAAAATAAGGGTTATTATGAAGTAGTTGGACCACATATGTAGTCTCTTAAGCTAATGACCACAAACATGCCCTGTGTAATCCTGTGAGGGTCTTGCATATCAGGGAATATTTAAATGCAGAGAGAGGCTGGGGCGCAGAGTGTGTTAACTGTGCTATATCCCCCATCCTTTTAATTTTTTTTTTTTTTTTTAATTTTGAGTTGCCCAGGCCGGCCTCCAACTTGGATTCCTCCTGCCTCAGCCTCCCAAGTTGCTTGTATTATCAGATGTATCATCATGCCTTGGCATTTTATTTCATCTTTTGACCAAACTATTATCCATCACTATTTTATAGATTAAAGTTTTTTAGAAAGAGACTTAAGTGATTTGTCAAAAATCCCTTGCTAATTAGTAACTGAATTTGAAGACAGGTCTGATTCTGTTGCCTGAACTTTCAATTATAAAGTTTCATAGGCTAAACATGCCAGACATTTTTCTTTGCATCTTTGCTTTAGGACATCTCAACAACTAAGATATTTTTGGCCTGCATATGGAAAGACTTAAGACTAATATGTTTATAGGGATCTATGTCACTTGTCTCCCAAACTTCACTATTACCTTGCTTTTTGGTTTTAGCTAATGCTGAGTCAACTTCTGTTGTGAAGATATCCTGAGGAAAGGGAGTTGGGACACACCCCATACCAGGATTCCAGTGTTCCTTGTTGATGACTCCAACTGTTATTTGCTGAATTGACTCAGAAATATACATGAATTAATTTGGATATCTTGAGAAAATTGAGATGCAGTTGCGACCAGGAGGGATGAGACTGATGGACCCAATTGTAGAATATCTAAAGCATGCCCTGTTTTACTTTTTCATGTCTCTTTTCTATCTAGTAGCACAGGTTTTGCTCTCCCTCTCACCTTAAAAAAAAATTACTACAGGTGGACATAATATCTTTATTTTTTATTTTAATGTGTTGCTGAGGATCAAATCCAATGCCTCACGCTTGCTAGGCAAGTGCTCTACCTCCAAGCCACATCCCGAACCCTCCCTCTCACTTTTTAAAGTGAAGCCGTATTTTAAAATTTTAATTTTTAAGCACAATTTATTTTTTTCTACTTTTTTGTGCATTCATAGAATATAGTGTATATTATTTTAGGCGTCAGGGAATGCTTTAGGGTGTGGGGTTATCATGTGGGTGTGAGGGAAAAAGGACAATGGGCTCATTGCTTGCTTAATGAATCAACTAAAAGGGCAGATATAGCATGAGTCTTCAGTGCTTAACTGCTCAGATGACTGACTCAAACCGACCTGAGATTTTCCCTTAAAACAGTTAATCATTAACCAGTTTATCAATTTGGGCAAGTTGTTTTAACCCAGAGCTGGAGTTTATAGAATTGTGATATCGTGAGGATTAAATGAAAAATGGCTGACATGTAGTTGGTGCTTAATAAATGATAGGTACCATTTTGTTGTTAGTCTTTCTCAATAAATGCTAATTTATTTGGGTTGTTAATTTCCTTATTTGAACCATTTTGGAATGTCAGAATATCATATCTGTAATTATTTGGTCAGTTGTTTGAGGAAGGTTTAGAATCCAGCATTTACTAAAATTTAAATCTTTATTTAAGCATTTAAAGCAAAAGTATCAATCTAGAATAAGCTATTTGTCAGAGTTTTTTTTCCCCTGAAAGTTCTTCCTGATAAAAGAAGAAAACAGCTCATTTTTTCTGACTTGCTGACACAAAAATAATAGCTGCATTTCTGCAAAATTGTTCTTAAAATGGAAGTAAAGAGAAAACCTGTAAGTTTAAAATTAAAATTATGTAAATTTAAGATTAAAATGTTTTCACATACCATATCTGTGATTCTATGTCTTTTGCTTCTGACATTTTCTGTTTGGACTAGGTCCTGTTTTTTTTTTTTAGTTGTAGATGGACACAATGCCTTTGTTTTATTTATTTTTATGTGATGCTGAGGATTGAACCCAGTGCCTCATACTGCTAGGCAAGTACTCTTCCACTGAGCTACAACCCCAACCCTGGACTAGTCTTAATTGAGGAACATTCTGATTCATTTTTTTAATTACATTTGCTTTAATAAAATTACTTATTTTATTTCATGTATCAGTACATCTTATTTGATAATAATTAGCACCTTAAAATTAACATATTTTGAAATTTTTATACATACTAAGTAGAATTTTCACAATAAAAATAAATGTTTGAGGGGCTGGGGTTGTGGCTCAGCGGCATAGCACTTGCCTAGCGCATGCAAGGCCCTGAGTTGGATCCTCAGCACCATGTAAAAATAAATAAATAAAACAAAGGTATTGTGTTCAACGACAACTAAAAAATAAATAAGTAAATGATTGAAATTTTTTGCCATTTTTTCTATCTTAATCTCAGATTTAGTATCCTGAAAAGTGGAAGTGTAGATTATCAAGAATCAAATAGACAATTAGAATTTTTTAACAGTTAATGTACTTTATTTGTTGTTTTGATAGTTGTTGGTTTTGCAGTTCTGGGAATTGAACATAGGGCTTGTTCCATGTTAGACAAGTATTTTGCTGTTGAGTTACATCACCATCGCCAGTATGTACTTTATATTTTTCAAATTTTCACTTTCATATTCAGCTTTACTATTATACGGTTTCTTACCTAAGACTTATGGTGTTCTGATTTTTCATTTGTAAACTATTATTAACATAGATAATTATATTAAGTAATGACCAATAAATTATCAAACAGAGAAATATTTTTTAGCTTTCTTTTAACTAAATCTACAGAAACCAGAAATATTTTGATATTTAATATTTGAATTGTTTAACTAAACAGAAATGATCTTTACGCTATTAATCACTTTTAACATGGAAAAGATCAACGTAATAAGTTTCACAGGTTTTGTTTTTCATTTTAGTGAATAGGTTTCTTAAATGCCATCTATTTTTAATCAGCAGTCTCTTATCACCTCCTCCCAATGTCTATATACCAATTCATATTACTTATGTCAGTATTGTTTCACTTAATGTCATCACTTATTATTTAAAAAGTTCTTTTCCTGTTAAGCAACATATTGGTACTTCTGTGGACACTGGCATCTAAAACATAGTCACTAGCATATTCCTTTGCCATGAAAAAATTTCATTTCCTTCATTTTTTTTAACATGGAATTGGGTAACCTGATAAATGAGAAAATTATACAAAAAAAAGTTTTCCTTGGTATAATACTATGCTCTTATTTCCAGGTATTAGTCTTAAATTTTGTGATTTTTTTTTCTTTCTGTCTTTAAATAGATGATCCATAATTATATGGAACACTTAGAAAGAACAAAACTTCATCAACTCTCAGGGAGTGATCAACTAGAGTCTGCAGCTCATAGTAGAATTAGGTAAGCTTTATTAGACATTCTGCCTTGAGAAAAAACGAAATAAATAATCTGATTGTTTCTGTTTTTTTGTGTTCTCTAATCCTGGAACAATAGTTAGGCTGGTTCAAAAAGCTCTCCACGGTGGTTGGAATGCTATAGGAGAGAATAGCATGGAAAAATAGAAACAGCTTTCATTATTAAAAAGATAAATTATGAGCCATGCTATTATAAGCAGCATGTTGAGGTATTTTGATGTTTATGATTCTTCATGGAGATTATGCAGGGTCTAAAATTTTCTGATTTGTGAGAATGTTGAAATTTTAAATTTCTCCATTAAATTGGACCTTTTTGGTCCAGAGAGGCATGTTTGAAGGGGTTAGCTAGCCATCTGTTTGATGTAGGAGTGTGAATAAATTATGTAGATCTCTGGGCATTGTATCCAATGAGCTAAGCCAGGACTCTCAGTGGAGAGGAAGATAGTTAATAGGCTGGCTGTCGCTCTGGGTTGCTGCATAAATGGTAGGAGCAGCCGCTCTATGGTTATTAGGTGGGGAGAGCGGAATGACGTCATCACTTGGGAGCCGCTGCAGGACCGAGTGGAAAGCTGCTGCTGATGGCATTGTTTTTGTGGCAGCAGCTGAATGACAGATCCTCACTACAAAGATACCCATTTGGCCCCCGTGTAGGCCTCCTGGTTCGGGTGTTTCACCATGCCAGCACAGCGCCATGAGTCCTGGATGCATGCTGCTGTTTGTGTTTGGCTTCGTTGGCGGGGCGGTGGTCATTAATTCTGCTATCTTAGTGTCTCTCTCTGTTTTGCTGCTTGTGCACTTTTCTATTTCTACCGGTGTGCCAGCTCTGACGCAGAACCTGCCAAGGATACTCAGGTACTCCAGTCTCTCTTAGAAGCCCCTGCTTACCTGGTTTTTCTTAAATTTTAGCCACTCTGATCTGCTTTGTAACCATTTCTGTTGCAGATTGAAACAATGGAAAATGGCCTGAAGCTAGGGTGTCTATTCTTATTTATAGTAATTTATAGGTCACCACTTAGGAATAGCGTTTTGGACCAAAGAAAAGGATTTTCATATTGTACTTATACACAAGTACAAGGTCAATGTGGTCTTATTTTAAGCAGAATGTTCAGAGTAAAGGGAGAGCAAGAGTAGAGCACTGCTCCAAGTTTATGCAATCTCTGGATTTAGCTTCTGAATTTAAAGGCAAATATCTTTTATGTTGGTTCTTGAAAACAATTACAGGCAATAGTTTATTACATATCAATTATCATTTGACTGATGAAGGTTCAGATATCACTTTACATTTTTAATAATAGCTTTTTCCTCAAAAAATATATATATTTTAAAGTAAAAGGATTTCAAGTTTTTAGAGCAATGAATGCATTTATCCCATTATTTACACATCAAAGTTGTGAAAGCTTTACAAAGCCTATTCACTATTGTTTTGTCAGATGTCGCCCTTTCTTCTCTTTGTAGTCCTGGGTGACAAATATCCGTGCCTGCTTGTGGGGGTAGTCATTAATCTCTATAGCTTTGCTGCTGCTCACTCTACTTGCAGCCTGTAAGAGCTATCTTCTATATCTTAGAGGTTTAAGATTTTGATTTATTTTGTTTTTTAGTTTATCAAACTCCCAAGTATTCAGTTTGCTCAAATTTATGCTTGGGGTATGGTTTTAAGTGAAAGTTCATCTTGTATAGATTTTATTGATTATTTAAATGGCTACAAACATTTAAATCCTAACTATAGGTTTAGACAAATAAAGAATTAGTTAGCTTTTATCAGTGTTCCCTTTTATTCATGGACGCAGTTTATATTATGTTTTAGTTTAAGGCCCAGAATTAGATTGCACCTGTGGCCTAATACTAGATACATGGTCACTTGTTTTCTTTCCTAATGTATAAAAATTAGAAATAGCCTTATGACTTGTGTATACATGGTCATTTACTTTCTTTTCTGATTTATAAAAATCAGGAACAATCATTACTTGTGTATATATTAGCACATAAAAGATTTGTACATATATGTATATATATTTAGGTTTTGAGGAAATTAATAATACTCAAACTACAGAAAATGTAGAATATTAAAATAAGGCTGATACTTAGGAGCTTTCTCAGTCTTAGCTTCCATTTGAGACAAGTGCTATGCAGTGGGTGAGAGGCTTTGAAGTTGGGCTGCCTGGGTACAAATTGCTCTGCCTCGTGTGATCAGTCCTTGGACCTTTGGCAATTTGCTTAATTTCTATGTGTCTGAGTTTCCTTCTCTGAAGGTACTTGCCTCATTTAGGTGGTTTTAAAAACTGAGCAAGATTATTACTTTGTTTTTAATTATAGTTGCAAGATATGTGGTAAACTATTATATGTATATGTATGTTTTTTTCCCATTTTTAGTAGAACTGTTCAAACTCCAGCTGTTTTATTCATAAAATACTTTGATTAAATTTGAAAAGCTGCATGATACAAAATTGATTTGACTAAAGATAATAGTCTTCAATATTAAGGTTACATTGTCAGAAAGTAGCACCAAGTAGTAAGGTCAAGGGAAGAAGCATACGGTGGTGGAGTTCATAGGCCTGACTTTTATTACCATCACTGCCGGTTTACTACTACCCAGAGCATCACTTTTCCTACTCTGTAAATTAGGAAAGCAATATCTATTCTCTGGTAAGGATTGAATGAGATAATATAAATAAATCATATAGCTCAGTACCTGCCACATGACAAATGTTTGAAAAATGTAATCTTTTTTTTTTTACTGTCCTTTATCTACAAAGTAAATTTTACTAGATTAGTTGTATTAAATGTGAGTATAACTAAAAAATTACTTCAAAAACATTTATAAAATAAGCTAACAATTAGCCAGGCATCATGTCACATGCCTGTAATCTGGGCAATTTGGGAGGCTGAGGTAGAAGGATCGAAAGCTAGAGACCGAAATTATATTGTATGCATATATGAATATGTAACAACAAATCCCATCATTATGTACAAGTATAATGCACCAATAAAAAAATGTGGAAAGAAAAAAAAGTTTGAGGCCAGCCTGGGCAATTTAGGGATTTCCTTAGCAACCTCTTTTAAAATAAAAAAGTCTGGGGATGTAGTTCAGTAGTAAAGCATCACTGGGTTCAGTCCTCAGTACCAAAAAACAAAACCAAAAAAGTTAACATTTAAATAACCATCTCAAAAATGGATATGTGGGAGTAAAGCACTTTTAAAAAATATATCATAAGGATTTTGATAGTTGATGATACCTTTGTTTCTATTAGACAGTAATATTACTAGACAGTGACAACAGATGTTTCAATGTAGGGGCTTAAATCTGCAACTTAGTATTTTTCCACATATATCCCATTCTTTGGTTGAATTTCTTCTGTGAATTTTACTGAAGCATTTAACACATAGATTAGCAAATACACATGTACCAACATAATACAGGACTAATATTTGCCTTTTAGAATTTATTTTCAAAAGTAGGATTCTGATGAATTTGCATGGTTACATGGTTCATAGTTACATAGTTCCCTCTCTCAACTCTTGTGTAGTTTTTTCAGTAAAATGAGAGTATGTAGTAATATTATTTTTCCAGAGTTGGAACTTGTAACCCAGAGCATTGTTGATGCTCTTGACAGATTGCTCTGAGTCTCTGAAAAGATTCCTTTCTACAGAGTAGTTTCTGAATGACTAATAAAAGCAAAACTAAAAAGGTGGGAATTCTACCATTATTTTTGATTATAGATTTAATAGGAAAGTATGAATTGGACTCATAGAAGACTCCTTTCCCCAGGAATTTTAAACTTTTTCAGTATTTGGTACATTTGAAAAATGAATTGTTGGCTTTCATTTAGGAAGATAATTCTAATGACTGATTTCTATTTTGTTTTTTTGTTAGCAGTGTGATGGATTTGCATGAGGTCTATATGATCTTCCTATATTATCTTTGCATCTTAGGTTAGAAAGCTTTCCCTTAGACTCAGCCAAACTCAATTTCCACCTTCTTTCTTTCTTTCTTTTTTAACTATTTTAGTTGTAAATTGACACAATACCTATATTTTATTTATTTTTATATTGCGTTGAGGATTGAACCCAGTGCTTCACATGTGCAAGGCAAACACTCTACCACTGAACCATAACACCAGCATATCAATTCCCACTTTATATGTAGGCATTAAGGTATGTTAGAGAATAAATAAAGGTCCAACTAGTATTTCTTAGAACTTTATATTTTCTGTTCCCAAAATTTGTTCCCCAAAATTGGGATAAACATCAAATTGACAAATTTTCATTTTGTCAGTGAAGAAAAATAAAGAAAAAAAATCTAGCTCCTAACAACAGTCACCATCATGTAATGAAAGAAAGGGCATTTTAAGATCAAAGAAGCAGAAAAGATGTAGTTTAAAATAAGGTTCAATCATTCTCCAAAAAGAACAGGTTCTCTGAGTTGCATGGAAATGTGTACATGTATGAAATGTGCTATATTTACCACTAAGGAATAATCAGTGATGCCTTTTTTTGTCATTGACTTAAGAAAATTTTGTTGCTGACCAACTTCTGAGAATAACTGATGTAAACAGAGTAACTGACTTTAATTTTGTCATCTGGTTATTCTGGCAGCTCTTAGTTACAAATTTATATTTGGTATTAAAATCTAATCTTTTATTGTGCTGTTTACCTGTATTTGAATTGTTTTCCCAGATCAAATAGGAAAAAGTATTATAAGTGTAAAGAAGTGATGAATAATTAACTTTGATAAGAGAAAGTTCTATTTTTAAAATTTATTATATTTCTTTATGCATATAACATTGATAAAATGTAATCTCTCAACCCTTTTACTTTACTTAATCTTTTTTTTTTTTTTTTTTGGTACTGGGGATTGAACTCTGGGGCACTCGACCACTGAATCACATCCCCAGCCCTATTTTGTATTTTATTAAGAGAGAGGGTCTCATTGAGTTGCTTAGTGCCTAGCTGTTGCTGAGGCTGGCTTTGAACTTTCTATCCTCCTGTCTCAGCCTCCCAAACCACTGGGATTAACAGGTGTGTGCCATCATGCCGGCTCTCACTTAATCTTTAAGAAGGCATTCTGAAGCTGGGCTTGGTGGCTGTGACCCAGTGACTAGGGAGACTGAGACAGGAGGATCTCAAATTCAAGATCAGCCTGGACAAATTAGAGAAACCCTATCTCAAAATAAAAAGGACTCGGAACATAGCTCAGTGGTAAAATGCCCCTGGGTTCAATCCCTAGCACTGCAAAAAAGAAAAGAAAAAGGCAGCATTCTGACATACCCTTTATATTAAGTAAGGGCAGGTTTCAAAACTTAAATTTTATTGTATAAAAATGAACTTACAAAATAAAAGACTTATTTAGCCTACTAAAATGTTTCCTGATTTTATTTATAACCTTATTGTTTCTGTTCCAACCTACTTTATTTAATTGTTTGTTTATTTATTTTGGTACTGGGGATTCAACCCAGGGCACTTAACCACTCAGCCACATCCCTAGCCCTGTTTTATTTTTTCATATTGAGACATAGTCTTGCTAAGTTGCTGATTATGGCTTTGAACTTGGGATCCTCCTCCCTCAGCCTCCTGAGTTGCTGATATTACAGGTGTGTGCCACCTAGCCCAGCTTCTATTTTCTTACTAGGAGAGGTAGGGGTTCTGGGAGGCACTAAATCTTTAGTGTTTTTAATTAACAACCCAGGATGACTTGTTAGTAGACTTGTTTCCACCCTCTAAAAACACTTTCATTTGGAACTTTTTGTACATTAACACAAGATGTGTTTCTTGTTGAAATTCTATTAAAAGTATAACTCTTGTTGTACTTTAACAAGAGCATTGGAAAGTCAAGAGTTTTATAGAATTCTTTTGGCTCCTTGAAAAAAAAATGACAATAGTTTTTTTCTCATATGTACTGTGCCTATAAGGAATTTGTATAGTGATCTGTAGAATAATAGAATTTCACCCAGGTTTGGTGGCTCATGCCTATAATACAGCTGTAATCAAGGCTGAGGCAGGAAGATCAAGATGAGACCCTGTCTCAAAATTTTAAAATACAACATTAAAGGACTGGGGATGTAGCTCAGTTCAGTGGTAGAGTGACCCTGAGTTTAATCCTCAGTTAAAAAAAAAAAAAAAAAAAGAAGAAGGAAGGAAGGAAGAACTTCCTGCTTTTTAGGGAGTTGAGTTCTTTTTTACCATTTAATCACTAGCTATGATTCAAATAATGTAATGATTTTCCTCTAGACCAAAAAGGATACCTTGAAAAGGCTTCAGTAAACATGCAGGGATTAAGTGTGAGGATTTGGAAAGTCTAAGTGCAGGAGTTGGGCTCACTTCCAAAGGAGGAGATTGTGCATCCACCTATGGCTACTCTAAGCATGATTAAAAACTCACCAGATCAGAACACTGCATTCTGGGCAAGAATCTTATCAGTAACATGTAAGATTTTCTAAGCAGTTTCTTGACACTCTTCTTAGTTAATTTTTGAGAACGAATTGAAACTTCTGAAAGTGTCCTTTCTCCTTGGTAGGTCTACCTGTTCAAATGGACAGACAATATTATTTAAGAGGATCAATCTCAAAGCAGTGCAATTCAGGTTTATGACTTGTAGTCATGATCAATAAAAATAAATTATTGCTAATTTTTTTCTCCCCTCTCCAAATAGAAAAGAACGCCCTATATCCTTAGGAATTTTTCCATTACCTGCTGGAGATGGATTGCTTACACCTGACACTCAGAAAGGAGGTGAGACCCCAGGATCAGAGCAATGGAAATTTCAAGAATTAAGTCAACCACGTTCTCATACCAGTCTGAAGGTAAGCTTTATTTTGTGGAAATTGTCAGTTTACATTTCATATGCTTTCTTATTCATATAGAAACATTAGACAACCAAAGTATTATAAAATGTAATAGTTTGTATACATTTTAGTTTATAAAATTGATGCCTTTTCTTTTTAAGTTAGAAATGAGCTCTTTCCAGGGTTAGTTTTCTATCATCCTATTTCAAGTTACATAGAAAAACAAGGTTAAACCTTGTTACATCTTTATTAGTAATGACAAAATTATTTTCTATTTGGTTTAGGCTATATACATAATATGAATTTAGGGTGGGATGATTAGTGAACCTCATTTTTTTAATATTTATTTTTTAGTTGTAGTTGAACACAATACTTTTATTTTTATTTTATTTTTTAATTTTAGTATGCTGAGGATCAAATCCAGGGCCTCGCACGTGCTAGGTGAGCACTGTACTGCAGAGCCACAACCCCAGCCCCTCATTATGTTTTTTAGAGTTAAAAATCATTGTCACCCAAAATCCTTGATTCACTGGTAGAAACTTGATAATTTAGTAGGGCTTTATTCTAAAAACAAAACAAAGGCCAAAGGTATAGCTCAGTGGTAGAACACTTGGCTAACATGCTCAAGGTCGTGTTCATCACAAGAAAAGAAAAGATGTAAAAACAAACCACTGTTACTTTCTCAAACCACTTTATAATGTACAAAAGTGCATTGTAACTGGGCTGATGGCGATACTTGTAACCTGTGCTACTCAGGAGGCTGAGTCAAGAGGGTAACCTGAGCCCAGGAGTTTGAGACCAGCCTGTGCAGCATAATGAGACCCTGTTTCAGAAAATAAACAAAAATTTAAAGTTATGTTCTATATTTTATAAAATAGGACATTTATGAAGGGAATATTGATTATAAAAATGCCTTGTTACATTATATAATCAACTCTCTGTGTTGCAAACAGGCCATTTGTTTTTAATACAAATGAATTAGTTGTATATAATTTCCTTTTCATGCTGTATTTTTTCCATAATCCTTATCATGACCTTAGTACTTAAAGATATCACTTACTATCTTCCAAAATACTGTCATTTACTTGTTTATCCTTCTCCATTTCCCCCAACTGGGTATTGAACCCAGGGCCTCATGCATACTATGCATACTAACACTGAGCTACACCTCTAGCCCTTTTTATTTGAGTTTTTGAGAATAGGATCTTGCTAAGTTCTCAAGGTTGGCCTTGAACTTGTGATTCTTAGTGCTTATTAGGTAAGATTAAAGGTATGCATCACTGCTCCCTCGCATTGTTTGCTTTGCTTTATTCTCTCCACTGAGAACATAAATTTCATCTGTATCCCTGGCACTTAGAAAAATATATAGCTAGCATATTATAGACAATATATAAATGTGTACTGAGAACATGTTTTTCAAGTGAATTTTATGTTTTAAATGTTAGAAAACATCTTTTAGGATAAAATGGTTTTTCTCTCAGCTTCAGTTGGTAGAAACATTCAAACTAATGCTGTTGACCTTTGGAATGTTCTTAAAACAGTAAGCACATAGCAAATATTTGGTAGCCCTTGTCCCACTTAAAAGTATTTTCAACATTAAGGTTTACCCCATTTTTTCCCCCTTCTTGCTCAATTTGTTAGAAGCCAGTTATGTTCAATATTATTCCACTGTGGAAACACTAGGAAACACTCTCAGTTTTTACTCCCACAGCCATACTGGCTTTTTTTAGCCTGCCTGTAGGTTTAGTAGATTTTCAAAATACCCATCGCCCACTTGCCATATATCCCCTTTCCCAAAACAAAATTAAGTAGGAGGGATACTTTTAGTATATCAAAAATATATACCAGGGGCTGGGGTTATAGCTCAGCGGTAGAGAGCTTGCTTCACACACATGAGGCATTGGGTTTGATCCTCAGTGCCACATTAAAAAATAAATAAATAAAGATATTGTGTCCATCTTTACAAAAAAATGATATATAGATAGATAGATACCCCCCCCACACACACAGAGCATATGGTAACTATTTTAAAGCTAACGGTTTTCAGGAACAAGACAGTACATTGTAAAATGGCACAAGTCCTGTTTGCAAAGTGTGCTTTAAAAAAAATAAATAAAGATATCGTGTCCATCTTTACAAAAAAATTATATATAAATATATATATATGTAGATAGATATAGATAGATATCTACACACACACACACACACACACACATACATACATACATACACACACATAGCATATGGTAACTGTTTTCAAGCTAACAGTTTTCAAGAACAAGTGGTATATTGTAAAATGGCACAAGTCCTGTTTGCAAAGTGTGCTTATTAATAATTAGGACTTATTTTATTTTTCGCCTAAACCCTTATAGTCAGATGTTTTTCTCTAACTTTACCAAGGCCTAGGTGACAAGGACTGAATTTACTGATAGACCCTATCCCAGGCATGTCACATACTCTCTCATCTTGGCTTCCATGTGATACAGGAATTGAACTAGACTATCTCTAATTTAAAATATCCTGCTATTCTCATTTCTCCTGAGAACTTTGGGGATGAACTAGCTATGTTTAGGGCATTAAAATAAATAGGAAAAATATCAAAAGTTAAAATTATAATTAACATTCATTTTACTAGCACTCTTTCGGTAAATAAGTTTAAGGTGAAAATATTCTGTAATAAAATCACATGATGAGTTATAGTTAAGGAAATGGAGAACAAAATATTAGAAAACTTTGTAGAGGAAAAAAAAAACAATAAAGGAGAATATAAAGTTACGGACTATCTTTGTTGCTATATTGAAATTTCCCATTGTGGGAGCCTTGTGGTTAGTGAGATTATAAATAATTCAGTGGGTTTTCTAGGAATGATGTGTGCCTAGAAACTTCTTAAAAAAAAGAATTTATACATATTTCTTGATTTATCACATTCTGTGGAAATCAACAAACAAGTAAACATAAGTTAAATAATAGCACTGCAAGTATTGTTAAGTGCTATTAAGAAAGCAAGGTAAGCTAGAGAGTAGGGAAAGGTGTTTATTTTAGAGTGACGGCATGGGGATGTACAGGTAGGTGTATGGAATGGTCTGGAGAAATAAGTGTGTGAGGAAGATGAGATAGCAACTGTAAAGACCCTGGGCTGGAGACATACTTCTGTGTTTGAAGTTTTGTTGTATTTTTCTTTGTCTGGTTCATCTCAGATTTTTGAGTCCTATCTCCTGCACCAACATCCCTTTTGTCAAAGGTTTCCTAAAACATCCCTCTTTCCAAGTCTAGTGGAAGATTCTCTGGCTTTACCTTGTTAGCAGCATTCGAATACCTTAAATTTCTTGAAAAGTTTATTCTAGTTTGCTTCCAGGATACAACCACCCCCTCTCATTTTTTTTTTCCTGCCCCTTTTCCCCTGATGGTTTCTTCTACTTTTTGTCCTCTAAATTTTAGAATATCACAGGGCACATAACTCAGCCCATCTCTTGTTCTATGTAGGTCAAGTTCCATGTCTGCGAATGTCATCTACATGTGGGTGTTCACAAATTTGAATCTCCAACCTTGATTCCTCCCTGACTCCAGACTGTATTCAATACTTTTCTTCCTAGTTTGCCTACCAGGAGAAATACCCTCTTTCAAGGCCAGCTTGCATGAAGCCTCACTTGATACTCTATTGATGATTATCAAATTGAGCTTTAAGATTAGTTCAAAGCAGAAAGAAAAGAGTTTTACATATGTTGTATCATTAAAAGAAATTTTTTACTGGGGGACTTCTGATAGAATCGACATCAAATGACTAAATTTGCTGCTGCTATTGTTGTTTTAAGTGCTAAGGGTGGGGATGGGCAAAAAAAAATTGTTGGGATGGGGTTTTTTGTTTTGTTTTTTTAATGGAACTGAATTATATTCATGAATAAGATGCCAATACAAGAAGAAATCAGAGAACAAAAGGTCAAATGTAACCAAGACAAACCTGAAGAAGTAGCATAGGAACTTGCCTTGCCAGATGTTAAAACCTACTATAAAGCTCTAATGACGTAGTATTGCTTTATCTTCTGTTACCCATTCCTTTCTGCACAATTCAGTCCCAAAGCCAGTAGGTAGTGCAGAGCAAGGTTGGTGTCTGTAAGGTGGGGCAGGGTGGAGGAAGCATTATAACTCAAGCAAGGTTAGGAGGGTTTCCATGTGGGGCCCAGTAGTTTAAAGGACACCCCTGCAGTGGGGCAGCCTGGCTTGGGGATATGAAATCCTAAGCAGGATGAAAGAACCTACCCAAGCAAAGGGGCCAGGCAGAGGGCTTCAGAACCTGAGCAAGTAAGGAAAGCAGTGTGTGTGTATGTGAGTGTGTGTGTGTGTGTGTGTGTGTGTGTGTGTGTGTGTGTGTGTTTTGGGGGAGGGTCAGCTGGAATGGAGAAGAGGAAGATGCTCAGGAAGAGAAGGGCATTGTCAGGGATTGTAGTAAGAACTTTATCCCTGGCAGTCAGGGATAAGTGAATAGAAGGAGTAGTCTCCAAGATCAGTTGGTATACGGAAGTCAAGCAGAATGAGACTGAATTTGTAAATTTTCAGGTGTAGGTTTAAACAGTTTGAGTTGCAGGGCCAGTAATAGGAATGAATGTGAATTGTAAAAGAACATCATGGCAAGGATAGCCTGCTCAAGAAAGGTGGTTATGGTGAGAGGAGAGTAAAAGAATAACTTGAGGTGGAGGTGGAGGTTTACATGGTAGAAGGCAGAGAATGGGAGTGACTAGATTATTTGTGAGCCTAGAAAAGTTCAATAGCAGGAGAAATTGAAGACAGTAAAGAAAGACCATTGGAACTTGAGAAGATAAGCAAAAGAAGTGAATTACTCATGCCTATCTGTAGTTTAAATCTTCATTGAATGGGACACCTTTGTTTTCCTAGTCTTTGCTATTATAAACAATGCTGCAGTAAAAAGTATGAGGAAAGTATGAAAATTATATGAATGGGATAATATATATGTGTACTCCCACACAGCTATACATTCTCCAAAAAAGTAATATTTTTTTCTT